CCCTTCCGATAATCTGGCATATCCGATAGTCCGGCACCCCCTGGGTCCTAAAGGTGCTGGATTATCTGAAGTTTACTGTACTATCATTCTGTGGTGAACAGGATGGGAACAAGTTGCTCCCTTTGTAAAAAAATCCCTTCTATGTCACTCATCCAGATCAGAGACTTCCTGGTTGAGAGCTGCCATTTTATCTCTGGAGCAAGTTCAATCAGTTCAGATGAGGGATGGTGTGCAGGAACAGCCCTCTGTGCAGATGAGGTGCACCTGGAGACACCATATACCTAGTGAATGGCTGTTCATCTTCTGCTGGTCTGTCAGGACTTCATTCTGCTGACTCAAAGCTACTGAATGGCTAAAATAATGTTATGTCTACTTACCACTTTTGACTGATTTATACATTTCTGTTTTATCCCCCTACTTTATATTTTTAATCTTTTCACATCTTTATTGTACCACTTCTGCATTTGCTAATAATGGGCACTACCCTAACATGCATAGCACATGGTTTTCTAAGGCTGAGACTGTACTTGATTGGTTTCAGTATTGCAGTGTTTCCCAAATGGTGTTCCAAAGTGAAAATAAGGGTTCTGCAAGAAAATGTCATTACAATAACATTTTATTTTAAAAATAATAATTAATATTAAAGCATTTATGAATTTTATTGAAAACAATTTTCATTTGTATTGATTTCATGACCTTGTTTAGCATTTGTTTATTATTATCCTTACTTATTTGTGGACTACTTTTTCAGCTCCATATACAAGACTGTTATTAGGAGTTCCAAAAAAGTCTTTCAAATTTAAAAGGGTTCCGTGGCCAAATAAACTTGGGAAACAATGCAGTATCGTATACCAATTACCACCCCTTATAACATTCTAGTTTTGAATCCTTTCTGGTTAGCTGCACATAAAATGCTATAATAGTTTGAGGGGACAAGACAACTGAATCCAAATTAAACTAATGAGGTGAATTTCAGAAAAATTAATTCAAATGGAACTAGAATGTTTTAAGTATTTTAGATCATGAATTGAAACCCATTTGAATTCTGCCACGGTTTACAAAGGAGTAGACAAAAAAATTGCCAAATTTGAACTCTTGAGAATGAGCACAATACATACATCAATAAGGAGCTGCTACAGTGAAGATTTAACTGTCTTAAAAATCACCATGTTTTAGTGAATTGAGTAAGGAGTGAAAGCAGCATAAGGTTAGGAAGCTTGAGAAAAACTGATCCTTAACATGAGATGTCCATTTAAAATCTGAACATATATCTGATAACTTTGAAGCATTATGCAAGTACCTGAGGACTTTTGGCCAGGGATGCAAAACGCTTTTTGCGTATTTGGGCAGTAGTATTAATTTTACAATCACAATCTGAGAAACAAGTCAACGATGGAATCATCCAAGGAGATGTTCTCCCCTTATTCTAAAGTCCTTACCTTTCAAAAGCACCATTGCCATGATACTACCAACAGCCACAAGAACCAACAGCAGCATATATATTAAACCATGCCAGACCTTGACCTTGGAGTTCAGACCTAAAACAAGAAAAATTAGCGCTCAGACTAACTACACTGGAGCTCATGGAATTTGAACTCATGGCCACATGAGCTGCCTTCTCTGAGGTGTGCTCACAATGCTGGTCACCTGAAAAATGAAATTCAAGTTTTCCCAGGGCTTTTCCAGTTCACCTGGAGAGTAGTAGAGGTGCAAGGTCTGACCAGAATGGTCACAGCAGGGCACTGAGAGATGCCTCCTGGGGACCAAGAACATTGACTCTCTCAACACTGGGTTTGCACTGCTGTACATTCAATCATGCAAGGTCAAAATTTGTATTACTCCTCGTGAAAAGCAGGAGGCCCGACATGGGCTTCCCTTAAAGATGAGGGAACAGGCTTGGCAGCGTGGACACACGGTTTAGAAAACCAACCTTACGCAGCTAATTTCGACCTACACCTCCAGTGAAGAAGACCAGGCCGCAGACATTTAAAGGAGCAGCTGTTCCTAGAAGCAGGTATTCAACTCCCAGCCACTTAACCTGTGATGGTCCTCAAGGGGGACCTGGTCCCGTTTCCCACGCCCTCCCCCCGGGAGCGGGACACCCTCCCCCAGAGCGGCTCCCTTCTCTCGCCTACCACAGCTGCACGTGTCCTTCCTTGGCGGACCCGAATCTCCCGCGGGGCTCGGCCCCTCCGCCGGCCTCTCCTCGCTCTGCGGGACGGCGGCTTCCGAGGCCGGGCTGCTGCAGCAAGAGAACTCGGGCTCGAGCTGTCTCACCACTTCCGCGTCGATCTCCTGCGAGTCCTCGCACGGCTGCGGGGACGAGGAGGCCTCTGCTCGGTCGGTGCCATAGCCGGAGTCCGGGCCCTGCTCTACCGGGCCCTTCTGCCTTGACAAGGGCGTCCGTAGCTCCATCCCCGGAGACTCCATCCCGGCCACGCAGTCCCCCTGGCGCCAGAGCACTGCAGGGCCCAGCCTAGTCGCTTTGTGCGCTCCAGCCCCACGGCGTGGGGAGGGGGCGACGGTGGAGGAGCCCCACGCACCCAGGCCTTAGGTTCCCCACCCGCCTTCTAAGCACTGAGCATTTTAGGCCTGGCTGGACTAGAGAAGGGGGCACCAGGGGAGTTGCCGCTGAAGGCGCGCGGCCGCGCACAAACACCCCTCTGCCGCCCACCTCCCTTGCGGAGCCTTGCAGCGGCACTCGCCTTCCTGCTGGCCGGGGAATGGCGCGGTTGTTTTCCTGATCTGGTGGAGGGCGGCTGCCCCGTTGTGTCCCTGCTGGGGCAGCCTCGCCCCACCTCCAGCTGCGATTGGGGCTTCTGTTTGTTTCTGTTCATACAGTTTGCTGCAGTTTTCCATCCCCGAGGACCTGCGTGAAGCTGGTCCGACCAGAGATACGGGGATCGATTTTTAAGAGTAAGAGGTTTTGTTTTTAAAGCAGGGGTGAGGAACCTAATACCCCAGCTCACGTGAGTGTGGCCCTCGAGACTCAAGGTTCCCACACTAACGCTCTAGCTCCCCTCCAGATTGGTGATAGAAATGTAGCCGTGTTAGCCTGGGGTAGTTGAAGCAAAATGCAGGACAATGTAGCACTTTAAAGACTAACAAGATGGTTTATTAGATGATGAGCTTTCGTGGGCCAGACCCACTTCCTCAGATCAAATAGTGGAAGAAAGTAGTCACAACCGTATATACCAAAGGATACAATTAAAAAAAAGAACAAATATGAAAAGGACAAATCACATTGCAGAACAGGAGGGGGATGCGGTGGGGGGGAGGGGGAAGGAAGGTAAGTGTCTGTGAATTGATGATATTAGAGGTAGGGAGAGTGGGATGTTTGTGAGTTAATGGTATTAGAGGTGATAATTGGGGAAACTGTCTTGGTAATGGGTGAGATAGTTCAAATGTTTGTTAAGTCCTTGTTGGCAAGTGTCGAATTTTAACATGAATGACAGTTCAGAGGATTCCCTTTCAAGTGCAGATGTAAAAGGTCTTTGTAGCAGAATGCAGGTGGTCAAGTCATTGAGAGAGTGTCCTTTCTGGTTAAAATGGCAAGAAACTGTTTTTTCTTTGTGATCTTGTCTGATATCTGTTTTGTGGGCATTAATCCTTTGGCGAAGTGTCTGAGATGTTTGTCCAATGTACATAGCAGACGGACACTTTCGGCACATGATAGCATAGATTATATTTCTGGATGCGCAGGAATATGTGTTCTTGATCTTATAACTCACTTATAGCGTCAGCTGCTGTTGTCTGTGCTGCAGGCTGCCGAGAGAAACCTCTTCCCTGAGGTTGGGCCCTGCTGGGGTGGTGTCAGCATCTGGGTGTCGAGGCTGGATTTACTCCCCCTTCCAAAGGAAAAGGGGAATTTTTCAAATCGTTTTTATAAAGTGCCCATTTCTTCCAGCCCCTGTCACTCATCTTACTTGTGAAACTGTCATAGCCTCCTCGGCAGCCAGGGGAGGATTGGATGGAATTGACTGAGAAGGGTCAGTTGAGCAACTGAAGATCAATATATGCTGCTGCTTCCCTCATTTTCCAAATCCCAATTCTTCCTTTTGGTGGAGCTCAAGGCATTGAATGTGAAGAAGAAATAGATCTGGTTTAGAAAATTGAATGTGCCTGCATAGGTGGCAGGGAGTGTTTCCAAGCAGCAAATCCTGAAGATTAATTTTATTTGTGAGAAATGAGATGCTGAAATACTTATTGCATAGGATCGCATCGACCGGGAAAGTGTCGTAGAATTTTAATGCAAAACATAAATTGGGGAATAGGTAGGCTGTTCTTTACTAATCAGTTTTTACTTCTGGTGTTTGAGATAAGGGTTAAATGGACATACCGTATTTTCCGGCGTATAGGGCGACTGGGCGTATAAGACGACCCCCTATCTTTTTAATTAAAAGATAGGGTTTCATCTTATACCCCAGCGCCCTTCCGCCTCCTTTGCTCCCGGTGTCCCTGGTCTGCTGGAGATGGTCCCCAGCAGACCAGAGGCACCGGGAGCAAAGCCGCCAGGAGCGCCTGGGG